TCAGAAATCAAGCAATGTTTTGGATACTCAAAATCCTTAAAAAGTCCGAAACAATTCATTCCCTTCTCCTTTCCTCCCTCCTCTCATGCTGCCATAGTCAAACCGCCTTAGAATATATTTGCATGCAGTCTATCTTGACTTGTACGACGAAGCACCATGCGGTCTAGCAGCGCACACATGCATTTCATGCTTACAGCAAGTACTTACTGCTCAAAAGTAGCACTTATAATGAACTACACTTTAATGTCTCACTATGGTGGCCAAAACAAAGTCAAATTTGAGTTTAACAGTGAGATAACTATCGGACCATATCCGTTTTGGCTGGATTTTGTTATTAATAGCCAGCTTCCATGGCAAGCACAATTCAGAAAACTTTTGGGGGATTTTTTCTTAACACGTAGTTAGGAGCAACTTGATATCTTCGACATATCTCGTTCCGATACGAAGTACAGGATTCGTCACTGGCGTTAAGATAGATACTTCGGACCAAGACTGCTTGTCGGTGCATTCTTCACCCACCGCCAAATATCCGCCAGCGATGGAATCTGTTTGTGTACCTTTTTCCACCTACAAATAACTTTCTTTATTATTTCCCTAATAACTATTTATTATATATCTTTATCCCCCATTATATTTCTCTCTCTCCCTCCCCCTCCACCGGGCCTTCTGCCTCTCTCTCCCTAAGCAATACTAAGCAATAAAGCAATAAGGCATCCTCCTGAAAAATCCCCGAACTGACAAGAATTTCTCCGCCTTGGAAGTTCACACACGAGTCGTAATGACGTGACGGCAAACGGTACTACGCCACTGCGCCATATGTAATTAAGTGAATATTAATAGCAAATGACAAATAAATCATGACTGAATTATTTCTTGCATTTCGCAAAATGCCTTACCATGTATAGTGCGCGATGAATCTGCTCGAAAAGTGCTTGTCGACCACGTCTTATCCGCAGTAGCGCACTGCTTTTCTTTCCAACCTGTCGTTCTGCACTTTTTTGGCGCCTTCTTTTTCGCAGCATGTGCCACATTGCCATAAGATCTGTTTTACTCTAAAAAACAGCAGAAATATTGGAAAGGATGCCACTGTTAGACGCGTTCAACAAGTTCATCTCAACTACTGCAAACAGCGCCTCATCGCAAGATCCTCATGTAGAAAACAACTTCGGACTGTTTCCAGTGAGCAAAGTACAGTATGGCGCTACCACTGTTTATTGAGTGCAGACTGGTAAAAATATCAAACAAGAAAGCGGGTTCCATTCCTAAAAACGTAACTGCGCTTGATGTACTTGTCGAGACAGACATGAGAATGACGATTGATAAACTGGAAATTGAGGAATTTTCTTTTGCAGCATCCCAGATCCCTCTTTTCTTTCTAACCGATGAATACGAGTCGATGATTACAAGGGGGACGAAAAGGTACGGCTCTGTGGAAGAAGAGGGCGTAATGTGGAAACGACAACTAGTAACGCAGCCGCGGACGAAATAGGGCTTGAGAAAGCACAGTGTAGGGCGAGCGATTTTTGGTTTGGGATTCTGCGAAGAAGGGAAGAAAGGCGACGTGTCGGGTAGGAGAAAGAAGGACGCACGGGAACTGGAGAAGAGTGCTTCTAGACTTAGTGAAATAGGGGAGTTGGGGCGGAGTTGGTAGAAAATTGGACATTTTGAGGCCGCTGTGTTTTGAGTTCCTTTTCGTGTAGTTTTTGCTCACAGTACGTTGTATTGTATTTGATACACCAGTGCATCCATATTATTTGGAAGTTATATGCAGCTGAACAGTGCTGCTTGCAAAATAAAGACGAAATAAGCATAGTCGGCTTACAGGAACAATCATTTCCTCCTGCGGTACACCTTTTTGCTTATACTCCTCGAGCACCATCACCAATAACTCTTCGAACAGTTGTTCAAGCTTCAATTGCACCACATTAATGCACATACTCACCAGCGCAAGCCCAACCATTATTAGGCCAAATATTACAAACATATCTTCCGAGTTTGTCGGCGTCACATCACCTATCAAATTATTTCAAATTTGTGAATGTTTCTGGACGATAAAAGTACCGTTTATTTAGTGAGCGTGGCATTCGCCAAATATTTTGGACTTTCGGGCTCTTTAATGCTGTCAGAACGGTATTCTGTAAAATACTCTATGTTTTTGATGTCAAAAGTCGAAAAACCTCGTTCATATTCTCTCTCTCTCTCCCTCTGAGAAGCAATGAGATTTGGAAAGCAAGGCCGTCACCTCTTTCGAGGATTGCTTAGAAACAAGTTGATAACAAATTTGGCTCCCTGGCACATGATACTACGAATCTGCCATAACAAATCATGGCGCAAATTTAGAGTTTGAGAGTACGTCATATCCACTTATGCATGTACAGTCTTTCTGGACGTTGTTTGAAATTCAGAAAATTTATTTACAGAACAAGAAACTGGACTTGAAAAATATTTTTTCAGTTTTATTTTAT